CAGTTGGGATTGAAGTGGGGAATGGGGGAAGTCTCCCTAAGGATGTTTGGCATCTGAGTTGAGACCAGAATGGTGAAGATGAATCCCTGGAACAGGTTAGGAGACAGGATCCCCAGCAAAGATACAGCAGGCACAAAGTCCCCAAGGTGAGCCTGAGCTTCCGGTATCAGAAGGACAGAACAAAGATCTCCGTGATGTTGTTGAATGAAGAAAAGCGAGAAAGACAGGAGAGGGCCATCTTTGATCCAACACATTTTGGTTCTTTCGGCTTTTCCTGGCCCTCTGGGCTGTGCTGTTTTAACATGAAAATCAGAAGGTCTTTAATCAATAAAATAGCAGCAGTTAGTTGACTTTAAAAATAAGGATGCAATATTAGTTTCTTTAAGTGGGCATCTTCAATGGCGTACTTTAAATGTTTAATTGCCCTCTAATCCTATTTTCAACTGTAGTTTTCCAAGTAAAAATGATCTGTTGGGTTATATGCAATGTACACCATTGTTGTATATCATTTAATTATTTTTTTTTAATATGGGCAATTTGCTAAATCTGCACATTGTTGCAAAAGATCTAAGACAGGAGCTGAGCCCTTTCTTTCCTTGTTAAAATGAATGTGCCTACAGCTGAACTCAATCAACAAGCTCCCAGAGAGACTTTTATTAAGGAAGAGTGGGCCATGTGAACCTCTTATCTCTAACCAGGGCCCCTCTTCCGCCCCTGGTCCCCAAGGTGCACAAGTGCCACTCTGGAAAAGGGTGAGATCTAGGCTTCCACTGGGTTCTGAGCAGAGGTAAGCCTAGGCTGACCTTAGGACAGTTCGGTTCCTCTCAGCAAATGACTGAGGCTGCCTCTGCGGCCAAGTGTTCCTTGTCTTCTTTGACTTTTATCTGCTCTGTGGAAACAGTGATGTAGTACACGATTGATAAAGAAGACCTGTTTATCCTGTTCCTCAGAAAAATGGGAGCTACTGAGCTTTCCAAATTGCCTAAACTTTGTCCACTTGGTAGCTGGCTACAGTGGCTAAAAACGTATAGTTGCTAAGTGTGAGGGGCTGAATTGGTCCCTCCAAAATTCCAATTGAAGTTGAAGTCCCAACCCACAGTATTTCAGAATGTGATTGTATTTGGAGATAAGGTTTTTGAAGGAAGAATTAAGATTCAATATAGTCTTTAGGGTAAAGTCCTAAGCCAATATGTCTGGTGTCCTTTTAAGAAGAGGCTAGGCCACTGGCACACAGGGAAGATCACAGGAAGACAGAGAGAAGGCAGCCACCTACAAGCCAAGGAAGAGGCCTCCGAGGAAGCCAGCCCTCATCACACCTTGGTCTTGATATCGAGACTCCAGGACTGAGAAAATAAACTTTTGTTATTGAAGCCATTCAGTCTCTGATACTTCACTATGGCAGCCCCAGCAAACTAAACACTACAGTGGATATTTGATTCTTGGACTCTTGCAGAAACTTGGATATCATTTTCACTCCATAATTTTTTAGATTTTTTTTATTTGTTTTAATTAGTTATACATGACAGCAGAATGTACTTTGATACATCATATACAATCGAGTATAATTTCTCATTCTTCCAGTTTTACATGATGTAGAATCCCACCGGCCGTAGAGTTATATATGTACATAGGATAACAATGTCTGATTCATTCTCCTATCCTTCCTACCTCCATACCCCCTCCCACCCTTCACTCCCCTCTTCCTAATCTAAAGTAACTCTAGGGGCTGGGGATGTGGCTCAAGCGGTAGCGCGCTCGCCTGGCATGCGTGCGGCCCGGGTTCGATCCTCAGCACCACGTACAAACAAAGATGTTGTGACTGCCAAGAACTAAAAAAATAAATACTAAAAATTCTCTCACTCTCTAAAGTAACTCTATATTTCCCTAATCACTCCATAATTTGGGGGTTAGGGAAGAAAGATCCTTTTGTAAATAAAAATTAAGAAACAAGGTCTCTGGGCTGGGGTTGTGGCTCAGTGGTAGAGCGCGCGCCTTGCACGTGTGAGACACTGGGTTCTATCCTCAGCACCACGTAAAAATAAATAAAGGTGTTTGGTCTATCTACAACTAAAAAAAAAAATTTTTTTTTTTTTTTAAGAAAGAAAACAAGGTCTCTCCTCTGAACATATCTTGTGGGTTTCAGTTTAGCAGGGAAGCTATGGGCCAGAGTTGGAAGGAGACACAATTCCTGGTCCACCTCTCCCTGACACAGTGGGATTCTCTTGCTTTCTCTGCAACTTTTGATGCCTCTTTCTCCATAACATAGCTCTCTCCCCTGACTTCTGTTTCCCTGACACTGGCCTGGTAAGCAAACAGTTTCTGGATTGTGCTTATGCTTCACATTTCCTATTTGGTGGAAAAGACACCCAGACCCTGACAACTTTATTTAGGTAGTTTGGGGGAAACGTGCAGCTCCCTCCCCTGTCTCTGAGTCTCAAGGTGTGCTGAGGAGAAACAGCCTTTCTATGTGCTAACAATGACCAAGCACTGGGTATCCATAAGAGGGCCACCTGGGCCTGGAGGGAACAGATAGCCAGTCCCTTGAGTCCTGTTGCGGGAACTCCTTATCTGGATACATCAGGATATCTTTGGTTGCAGGTGATAGAAAAACCAGCTTGAGCCAGCTTAAGCAAGAGAGAGCACGTGGATCAAATCTGTAAGTGGGGGGCTGGGGATGTGGCTCAAGTGGTATCGCGCTCGCCTGGCATGCGTGCGGCCCGGGTTCGATCCTCAGCACCACATACAAACAAAGATGTTGTGCCCGCCGAAAACTAAAAAATAAATATTAAAAAAAAAATTCTCTCTCACTATCTCTCTCACTCTCTCTTTAAAAAAAAAAAAATCTGTAAGTGGGAAGCCCAGAGCATGTCCTGTTCTTCAGATTATGTTATCATGAATCTTTCTCTAACTCCAGACCTGTGGCAAAGATGACCATAAATTGATCAACTATGGAGACATAGGTTGCAGAGAAAAGAACTTCTCTCTTTCCCTTGAATTACAGCAACATTCTCTGGGAACCCCCTGTGTGGTCCAGCTTGAGTTGCCTGCCAATTCCTAGACAAATCATCATATTCAGAGTGGTAGAATACTCTGGACCTTGTGCCCACCTTTGGGACTGAGAAGTGGGATGGTGGTGACTGGCCCCATCCAACCTACTGAGAAAACAGAGGGTTGATTCCCCAGATAGGTGTCAATAAGAAAAAAGGTAAACCTATGAAACCTGCATCAACTACTGCATGAGGTAGTCTTATAAAAAGTGCTCAAATGGGACAAATTAAAAACAACAACAACAAAAAAGGTGGTACGGTGATGTTTCAAAGATGCAGAAAGCTATCACGTTAGGAAGCAAGAAGAGGAAACTTGAAATTACCTGGAGAAGTTATAAGAGAGGCAGAGATCAGCTCAGTGCAAGGAAAATCCTTCCAGAACAGAGAGCAACAAGAAGCGTTGCTTGGGGGGATGGGGGGGAGGGCGGGGAGGTTGTGGAAAGCTCTCCCTTTTGAGATAAGTCCTAGCGGGGATCAGTGGCCATTCACCAGCACTGCAGAAAACAAAGGTTTTAAGTGAGGTGAGTTGGAAGCAAACTAAAACCAAAGACTCCTCCCAACATCAGATGATTTACAAATTACTTGTTTCCATATTAGAAAACACTGAAGGAGTAAAGAAGTATACACAGACCACTCGGGCAGTGTAGAAGAATTTGTATTTATTTATTCATTTAAGTTGACATTTCCTGAAGGCTTACTATATTCCAGTCCCAGGCTAAGTGTTTGCATGTCTTGGCCCATTTAATCCTCACGGCCACTCTTCAAAATAAGTTTTGACGAGTCCTTTGAGTGAGCAAGGAAACCGGGGTGCAGAGAGGTGGAGTAACTTGCCAAAAATGACACAGCAAATAGCAGAACTGTGACTTGAATGCAGGCCAGCTGCAGTTCCAGGCCAAGATCCTAAGCCCTCTGCTCCTGGGACACAGACAGCCCTGCTGTTTTGCCAGGAGCAGCGTCGTAAAGCTCCCTCTGCTCACCTACCCCCTCCTGCACACTCGGGATCAAGGTTGACAGGATCCAGATGGCACAGGCAGGTCTAATGAGATGTGAAGGGTATTCCTCAAGGGGAGCCCAGAGTGGCTGGGAGAGAATCCCAGATTCTCATCCCCTACCCACTTGAGATGTCAAGAGCAAATGTTGTAGCCATGCATTAAAAACAGCGATGACAACAACAAAGCCAGCATTATTACTGACCTCTCCAATTCCAGTCCATATGTTGCTTAGACTAGAGTGACCTCAGGCCCCCTGGGTATGGCATGGGACTCTCCTGTGTATGCTCCCGATACACACAGTCAGAGCCCCCCATAAGCCATCCCCAGCGTCCATACAGCCAGCGTAACCTATAGGACCATCTTTCATGGATACTACTTGCTGTTTCCTCCAAAGCTGTCAGGAAGCATCTGTCAAGGCATTGAGTTTCGCCTAGGAATTTCCATTTCCATTTGAAGAAATAATTCTTGAAATAAGACATGGACGCCATGGGGGGCCTCCTGGAGTTTGGGCACAAGTGTGTGTTGCTTGTTAGAAAAGATTTAAAAAGAGCCAGGCCGTATCTCTGCACAAAACCAACCTTGCCTAGGCTGTTGCTCTATGAAGTTCAGGTATATTTATTTTTATTTTTATTTATTTTCCCTGCTTCTCTTTCCCTCTGTGCCTGATGCTAATATGAACATCTCTAACCCCCAAATCGAAAAGCTCCAAAATCTGAAACTTCTTGATGGCTAGCATAATGCCACAAGTGGAAAATTCCACATCTCACCTCACTGGGACAGGTTATAGTCAAAATGCAGGTACACTGAAAATATTGTGTAAAATTACCTTCAGGTTCTATGTGTGTTTACAAAACAAATGAATTCTGTGTTTAGACTTGGCTTCTGCCTCTAGGATATCTCATTATATCTCATTATGCAGAGGCAGATATTCTAAAATCCAAAATCCAAAAGGCTTCTGGTCTGAAGCACTTTGGATAAGGGAGACACTGCCTAAGAAGACTTCAGGTTGGTGACAGTCCTGGAAGTCTCCCTGAGGCAGAAAGTTTTACAGTAAATGAGGAACAGCCACCTTTATCAGATATCTATTTCTGAAAGCCTGACATTGGCAGGAGAACTCGACAAAGGCAAAGACCTGCGTTGGCTCTGACAGGAGTACGTTCTGAAAAGTTAATATCACACCAGAGACAGTTTATTTTAAAGGCAGGTTGAAACAGACCTGCTACCCTGCAGACTTGAATGCAACAAATGAAATGCAAACTGAGCTCAGCTCCTGCAAGACCCATTGAAACTGCCCTCCTATAAAGGTGAGCTGTGTCCCAGCCTTCAAGGGTGGGTTTTTGTTTGTCTGATTGTTTGTAGTACTGAGGGTTGAAACCAGGGCTTTGAGCATACTTTAAGCTCTACTATTGAGCTACATCACCAGCCCTTTTTAAATTTTATTTTAAGACAGGGTCTCACTAAGTTGTCCATGCTGGCCTCAAACTTGAGATTCTCCTGCCTCAGCCTCCCTGGTAACTACAATTATAGGCATATGCCATGCACCAGGCTTCAAGGGTAAGTTTTGAAGAGAAAGTATTTTAAAGAATTGCAGAACATTACTGTGACTTTGAGTCAGGTTGGATATTAGGACATATCAATTAAATAAAATAACATCAACACTAGAGCTAAATTGAAATGCAAATTCCATTGTGTTATCAACCATTGCAATGACTCATCCCACATGTCTTCGAAAAAGTTATATTTAAATAAAACTGCATATTTCATTTTATTTCTTAGGTATTTTTTATTTTTAGTTGATCTGTAGTTTTACATATTTATGGAGTACAGTGTATTTCAATACATGTATATAACCTGCAATAATCAAATCAGGGTAATTAGCTTATCCATCATCTCAAACATTTATCATTTCTTTGTATTGAGAATATTCAAAATCCTCTCCACTAGCTATTTTAAAATGTACAAATTAATTGTTGTCAGCCATAGTTAGCTTACTGTGCTATAAAACATTTTCTCCTATCCAATTGCATTCTTGTACCTATTAACCATCTTCTCTCCATCCTCCTCCCCACACCCTTCCCAGAAAATTGAGTGTTTTAAAACCGCAAGATGAAGGGTTTGACTTTCTTGTTCAGTCACCCAAAATGTATTACAACACTATCTAAGAATAATGAAATAGCATTTCAGAAGTGTAACGTAATAGTGTTAAAGTTAGCGGGGTATGTAGGTTTTTGTGTCTCCTTAGGATTTGTTCTTCCTCAAAGCTACTGCCAATAAGCTACTCCTAGAGGTGTCTGAGAGATAACTTTTCTATTTTTAAAAAAGAAATATCATGTTTCATAAGGTATTATTATGATTATTTGCAAGGAGACTCTATTGATGATCACCATCTCTTTTTCCTCTCATTTTCCCCAGCCAAAAAAGAAAAAATGAAAATTTTAAATTCAAGATTTAGTCACAGGAACTTAAGATCTTATGCCAGCAAAAAGGCAAATAGAAAGAATGTTCCTTTGCCTTCCTTCGTTCAATTAAAGAAAACTACTGTTGTGAAATATTCACAGGATACTTACAGTGTGATTAAGCCATGATTTCTAAATGAGTCTAATATTTTAGAAAAAAATTTAAAACAAGATAAAAGAAATCCTGGGTAGCTGCCTACTATTTCCCCCATGGATCACTTTATTATGAAAGAAAGGATGGCTCATTTTTACAGGCTGACTACAGCTAAAAAACACACCTGGTCAGAATGCACCTGGACAAAGCCAAATCCATGAGTTTTGCTTTGTTTTGATTTCATTGAAGATAACATGCAAACCAAAAACAAAACAAAACAAAAAAACCGCACACATCACAGGTGCCCAGCTGAGTGAATTTTCACAGACTGAATCTACCCGTTTAACCAGGACATAACCAGCATCCTAAAAGGTCCTCACTCTACCTTCCAGTCACTGCCCATCTCCTGGGATAACCAATATCCTATTTGTATAAGTGAAATCACAGAGTACATTGTGTCTGGCTTTTCCAGGCAATGTTATGTCTGCGAGATTCGTCTATATTGTTGTGTGTACTTATAGACGGTTGATTCTCTCTGTTGGCTGGTATTCCATGGGGTGAATATCCCACAATTTATTTATCCATTCTCCGGCTGATAGACATTTGGTCAGCTTCCAGCGTGAAGCTGTTATAAAGAGCCAGCTGCTTGAGTGTTGTACATTGGTTCCAGTGTCCTGGGGCCCAGGGTTGCTAATCTGCGTGAATGCATTATGAAGCTGTTTGAAACAGCATCGGCTCTTTAGGTCTGGATGGCTTTGTCATCTTGTTCTTCTGCCGACAGATGCAGATCTTACATGCAAAAGCCACAGCTCTCCACCTGTGAAAACTGACTCATGTTTTCATGGGGGAAAAAAAAAAGTGTTTTTTTGTTTTTTTTTTTTTAAAGATCAGCAACTGAGAACAGAAGTTAGTATTGTTTGCATTATCTTGGAGATGTGAGCAGCTGACCACAGGGAATTTGGATCAGAGGTAATAAGGTAACTTATTTTATTGAAGCAGGGCACAGCCCAACAGCACTTGAACAAGGAACAGGCCTTGCCTGGGGAAGTTGAAGAAAGCAGGAGCAGAGAGGTGACATGGTATTGGAAGGAACTGACCTGGAGGAACTCCATCCCACCCAGGATGCAAATTATCCTTCAACGGGCTGTGGGTTCAAAACGAGGGCAAAAAGCCAAGATTCTTCATAAACAAAAATCACCAGCTTAATTTTTCCCTGCAAAAAGTATTCTCCTCCTTGGGCCCCCACGGGGATGCTGCCTGCTGGGGTTTTCCGTTAGTTCTCCTTCTCGTCTGTGAAACGGGGTGATTGTCATACCCTAGCAGGGCCAAAAGTATTGGGAACACGGATCAAAAGTTGTACCCCTCTCTGCCACCAAGTGCTATGCTTTAGCCATGAACTATATAACATGGAACTGAGGGCTCAAATGCCTCAGTGGTTTAGAACGTGAGGAGTCGGAGGAAAGTCAGAATATCGACAGATTATTCCTTTGGAAAATCCAAATGAAAAGTAAGTGACATGGGACAGAGCAGGAGAATGAGTGGGGGAGAGAACAGGGTGCTCTGAGGACCGTGGGGGGCAAGATCAAAGGCAGACAGAGCTGTGCACAGAGCTGTCCACCTCTGTCTTCTGCCTGGCTCCGTTCCATGTGTATCAGACTCTGGTTACCAAGGGGAAGGCTCTGTCCTGGAATATCCTTGCCTGCCCAGATAAACCCATCCGCCGAGGCGCTCCACCACTTGTCTGGGTTAGCAAAGTGGGGCCTGGGGTCTCAGGATGTGGGTGCCCTAAGACAGTCACTGCAGGTGGGGATAATAAGTGTGGACAGAAGACAAAGGACAATATTATCCTTGGGAATAGATGACAGGTCACACAATGAAGCTTTGAGTTCCAGGAACTTGAGCTTTGTGGCTGCAGCTGTAGCGCCTGGGGAGGGAGGCAGCCCCAACCCCATAAGAGGCTGCAGGAAACAGGGAAAGATCAAGAAAACTTGAGCAGAAAAGAAAAAAAAACCACCCCAGCTCAGCTGGTCTCTCCACTTCAGTAGGAGCCTGCAGCTCCTCTGCCTGTTGGAATCCCATCCCCAGTCCTAGTAATACTTCACACTTCCTCATGCATGATGTTTTCTGGTCCAATACAACTTACTTCATCCCAATGTTAAAGAGATAAGGGGACTGTCATCAGACCTATCACCAAAGAGCTATAGCAAGCCTGGAGTATTCAATGACTGGCTGATGTGTGAAGAGTCACAGTCCAAGGTCCAGGCTGCATGGCCGTGCTCATCAGGCCACACCTTCCAGAAGAATGAACTTGAGCTCCTGACTCAGACAAGTGTGGATGCCGGTCAAGTTCTGCACAGCCTGATCCTGGATTTAGAGGACACAAGCAGTGGCCACTCAGTCACAGTGTGGGAGGTTCGTCTTGTTATTTCCAGTCTGAGAATGCCAGGTGAACAGACTTGAGAGATGGTTAGGTGCTAGAATGAACAGGATTTGGTGACATGACACTCAGGAAACAGAAAAGTCAAGATGCCCTGGATTTCTGGTCTGTGGGTCTGCATGGATGGCCACACAATCACTGGCCAGTTGGCTTTGGAAGTCATCCTTAGTTATGGAGACTAACAAACCAGATTTCAGGAGTCATCATCCATTTATTTTGTGAACAAACATTGTATTAGCTTTCCATCACTGTAACAAAATACCCGAGATGATCAACTTATAAAGAGAAAAGGGTTTTTTTTTTTTTTTAATGTTTTTTATTTTTTAGTTCTCGGCAGACACAACATCTCTGTATGTGGTGCTGAGGATCGAACCCGGGCTGCACGCATGCCAGGCGAGCGCGCTATCGCCTGAGCCACATCCCCAGCCCGAGAAAAGGGTTGTTTTGGCTCATGGGTTTTGGAGGTTTCAGTCCATGATTCACCAACTCCCTCGTTCTGAGCTTGTGTTAAGGCAGATATCATGGCGGCTTGCATGGCATTGTAAATTCTCAGTAGACATATTTTGAATCAAGATACAAAGTCATTATTTCTTGTAAACGTTAGTAATCAAAACATGTCACTCCTCTGCTTGAAAGCCACTGATGCTTTTCCATTGCATTTTGAGTTAAATTTGAACCCCCCTTGAGGCCTCCAGAAGTACACAGGAGCAGGCCTCTGTGACCTTCACCTCCTTGTGACCTACTCATCCTCTTATCTCCAGCCTGTAACCACTCCACCTCTTGAACCCTTCAAGCTTGTTCCCATTGCAGGATCTGCACATTCCAGACAGACCTGAAATCCTCTTCCTCAAATGTCTCCTCTGCAGGGAGGGCCGTCCCCCAGCCCCCTGGCTGTCACTCTCTCACTGATTACCCTGGTGCGTTTTTCTTTGTTGTACTTATTATCTACAAACGACCTGATTAATTTGCCAGTGCTTGTTAACCATTCTCCTGGCCACATTTTATGTTGATTGTACAGGTAGATAAGTTATAAGGTCACAGCTGGGCCAGAGAACCGGCCAAGGGCCACTGAGTGAGGCGGGAGAGCAATGAACAGGCTTGTTTAGGAAATACTGGAGTACAGCCAACAGTCTGTGGGTAAACTGGGTAGGGAAGAGGACGACAGTGAAGGTGCGATCCCGGTCCTCATGGATGCCTGGGCCAATCACAACCAGAGAGGGCCCCAGGTGGACACAAGAATATAGCTCAGGCTTTCCACTTGCTGGGCTGGGGTGCATCTGAGGCAGGTAAGACAACCTGCCAAGCGTGCAGACAAAACCCGGGTTGGGCTCAGCAGAGGTGTGGGCTGCAGGAGGAATGTTGTGTACCCCTGTGTGGTACTGCCCCGTGGACATGGATGAGACAGATGGGAGCATGGGGCGGCCCAAGAGGAGATCCCCAAGGGAAGAGCTGGGCAGGGATCCTGGTGGAATGAGCTCAACACGGAATCAGAAGAGTAGAGAAAGAAAGCCAGGAATCTATAGGTCACAGTAGCCAAAGGCAAAGAGGAATTGTGTGGTGTGGGTGC